CTTTGACATCGTGAATGGCCTACTGCCACTTCTTCAGGGCAGGCTGGGAGAGCAGAAGCGGCTCCTGTGTGACCTGGTGTAAGCAAATAGCAAGAATAAGAGAGAAAGTGGGCCATATCCCTAAGAGAAAAGAAATTTAAAAACTAGAAATTCACAAATGGGCCTGCAGTGATAGGACAGCTGTCAAAGGCCCACAAGCCTAAAACCCCAAGTTTGATCCCTGAACCCATGCAACAAGCCTGTGAGGTGTCTACACATGTGTAACCTCAGTACTGGAGTGGGACATGGGAGGATCCCTGGGGTTTGCTACTCAGCAGGTATAATCTGATTATTGAGCTAAAATCCAATGAGAGAGCTGCTTCCGAGGAGTTGGATAATGCCCCTGAGAATGTCAGCTGAGGTTGTCCTCTGGCTTCTACACATACTCACACACACACATGTGCACATACATACACAAGAACATACATACACACAAGCACACTGATATACACACATATATTTTTTTAAAAAAAGGAAATCCACAAAGGGGTCTGAAATGTGTGGAGAAAAAGAAGTAAACCAAGTGGACACAGCCCTGTCGTGGGAAGGGAGCAGATGCCTCATCCAAAAGCTATAAAGAACAGTTCCTTTTTTTCTCTTCTGAGTGGTTTTGGTGATTGAGTCCTCAACATTAGGATGACCAAGAAGATCCCTAAATAAAATTAGTGGACTTATCTCAACCAATAGATGTACACATTGCAACACAGTAAAACAAGCAATGTGGAAAACCAAGACAACATGAGTTCTCACAAAGATCATATTACCTCAACTACAGAATAAAAACATGTTAAAATTGGTAAAATTCTGAAGATTTTAGAAGTTTACTTGTAAAAATTATAGATGACCTAAAAGGCTATAAAAATTAGTTAGACAAATTCACTTTAGGACCTAGTCACGAAAGTCAGCAACATTAGAAAAAACAATCAGCAAATGGATCAGACAATAAGGAATATTGATAAAAAAAAATTAGCAACATAGAAGAAAAAAACAGTAAGGACATAAAAAATTTGAAAAAGAATCTTGGGAATGAAAAACTCATGAATAAAATAGCAAACACAGCAGAAAGTATCACCAACAGAACAACCAAATGAAGAAAAATATACCCACAATAGAGGACAAAGTCAACAAATACTACATCCAAACATGAATAAAAAAAGAAAAAAGGCCCATGACCACACATCTAACCATTAGAATAAAACCAGACCAAGCCTGAGATTCCATGGTATAGGAGGTGAATTGAGAAAAATAAATAAAGCGGTTCAGTGTAGGATCTGTTCAATGAAGTGATAATAGAAAATCCCTCAAATACAGAGAAAGAAATGGACAGATATTAAAGGCATTTAGAAACTCCAAATAGTCATGACCAGCAAAGAACCTCTCTTGACAAATGGTGGTCAAGATATAAAATATGTAAAATTGAGAGCAAAAAAAAAATCTATTAGGAAAAGACGACAACACATATATGAAGGAAAAGACATTAAAATAATATCAGATCTCTCATCAGCAATTTTAAAAGCCTGGAAAAGAGTGGAACAATATATTTCAAGCCTTAGGAACAAATAACTGTCCACCAACATTGACTTATCTAATGAAACTGTAAACTGGCAGAGAAATAATGACAATTCCAGACAGGCACAAACTAAGGTAGTTCATGACCACTAAGTCAAGACTGTGGAAGATTCTCAAAGGAATTCTGCCCACAGAGGGGAAAGAAAAACAGTTTCCATCATGAGAACACAGGAAACAATGAAGTTCATAAGTGGATAGGTAAAGAAAAGGGAACTAGGAAGGAATTTATCATACTCAAAACAATAAACAAGCAATCTCTGATACCAATAGAGGAAACAAATAATAATCCAACTAGCCAGAAAAACAACAATGAAGTTATAAGAATTACTAAATATCTCCCAATAATAATTTTAAATGTAAGTGATCTCAACTCACCAATAAAAGGACAGGCTGGCTGATTAGACTGAAAAACTAGTTCTACTAATATCATCTCAAATTTTGTTAAATTTTAATTTTTTTATAGGATTAACATTGTTGATCATATCTCTAAAACTCTCCCTGGCTCTTGGTCTTTGAAATAAGTAAAAGGAGAAATTAAAAGAAAGATGTTGAAAATATATCTTGAGACAACTTTAAAATGTGAACATGACAAAAAAATTAAAGGATGAAGAAAAAAATATTTCTAAAAAGCAAGTTTTGAATAATAACTTCGAAGTCATTAGGAAAGAAGAAAAATCTGTAGTCAGCAACCCAAAGTTATAATCAAGGAGCCAGAAAACAAACAAAGCAAATATATACTTTGAAAGAGAAAATAATAAAAACCAGAGCAGAAACAAAGAACTAGAAAATCCTGAATATTTTAGTAAATAAAGTTATTCTTTTGAAAGGACAAAATAAACATTTAGATACACTAAGTAAACAGAGAGAGGACTCAGAATCAGCAGTGCAGATATTACCAGGGAAATAGAAAGTCTTACAAGAGACTGCTATGAAAACTTACAAGTCAAATTGCGAAATTTAAAAGAAATGAATAAATTCCTAGGAATACACAAGAAGAAATAGAATATGTGAACAGAAGAATTATATGTACAGATACTAAACCAATGATAAAAATCTTTTATCACTGATTTATAAAAATCAATTAAGCACTGGAATTGATTACTTCATTGGTGAATTGGAGCATTTAAATAACTGATACTAATTATTGTCAAATCCCCAAAAACAGTAGAGAAGAAATACTCATGAACTAATTTTATAAGATGGAAATACTCATAAACTAATTTTATGAGGTCTTTACTATCTGCTGGAGAGATGGTTCAATGGTTAAGAGCACTGCCTGCTCTTCCAAAGGTCTTGAGTTCAATTCCCGGCAACCACATGGTGGCTCACAACCATCTGTAATGAGGTCTGGTGCCCTCTTCTGGTCTGCAGACATACACACAGAATATTGTATACATAATAAATAAATAAATATTAAAAAAAAGACCCAGGAAATGACTCTATAGAAGAAAATAAAGATATTGTCACCAACAAACAAAGATAGAAAAATCTTCAACAAAAATGCTATCAAATTGAATTTAACATTATATTAAAAGGATCATTCGCTATTCCTTAGTGGATTTATCTTAAAGATACAGTGACATGAAAAATTCTGTGACAATCACAAATTTTCAATAAATTAAAAAAAAGCATTCCACATAATTAAACAGCTCTTCATATTATATTAAAAAATTAAGGTAGAAAGGAATGCACTTCAATGCAATAAAGCCTTGTGTGACAGAGTCGTGGCGGCACCATACTCAATGGTGAGAGGCCAAAGCTCTGGCTTCAAGGTTAGGAATAAGAAAAGGTCAGGATGTTTATCCTTGCCAATTGTGTTGAATACAGTGTTGGAAATCCTTGTCAACAGAGAAAGCAGAGATAGACAATAAAGGAAGAACTGGAACGGTCTGTTGCCAAATAACACCATCTTCTACATAGGGAATCTCAGAAGCTTCCTGAATCCAGTGAAATTACCCCATATAGAGCTGGTGTTTAAAATTAACAGCTTTTCTGTACTCTCAATTATCTAAAAGAGAAATCATGGGACCAATCCCCTTTAAACTAACAATTTAGGGATAAAGTTAACCAATGAGGTGAAAGAGTCACACACTGAAAACAATAAAATATTCATGGAAGAAATGGATGCTAAATAGGACGACAGTTCATGTTCATGGACTGGAAGAATTAACAATGCTAAACTGTAGATATTATCCAAAGCAATCTACATGTTTGATGCAAACTCTATTAAATTCACAATAGTGTTTTTAAATAAAATTAGAAAAATAATTCTAAAATTCATATGGAACCAAAAGAGACTCAGAATATTGAAGGAATCTTGGTGGGCTGGAGAAATGGCTTGGCCATTAAAGGCTGGGCTCACAACCAAAACTGCAAGAATATTGAAAGGGTCTTGCAGCCTGAGGCATCATACTACCTGACTTCAAATTACATCACCAGGCTCGAATAATCTAAGCAGCATAGAACTAATAAGCTGGCAGACATATAGACCAATGGAACAAGAGATTCTCAAAATAAATTAATATTTACAATTACGTTATTTTTCAAGAACATAGAATGGAGAAGGCTAGGTTGCATTAACAAATGATGTTGAGAAAACTGAATAAACACACATAGAAACATTAAAGAAGATCTTTATTTTATGCTTCATTAAAACAAACTCAAAATAGGTTAAAAACGTAAGGAAAAAACTATAAAATTGTTACAAGTAAACACAGGAAGATAATTCCGTGAAATTGTTTGAGAAGTTTTATTTTTGCCAACTCAGCATAAGTGCCAGGCAACAAAAGCAAACATAGCCAAATGGAATCCTTTCAAAGTTGAAGTTTCTGAGAGCAAAGGGACAGAGTTCCTTCTCATCAATCAGAAGATGTTGCACAAGTCTGTTGTCGCCCTGTACGAGGGACACGGTTACACAGACCAATGCTGTGGGTCTAGGGTCTGGTAAAGACATGTCTAACTGAACTCTTGGCACACATTTGTAGAAATATAAAGTTTTACATAACCCAGCATGGGGGAAGTTACTTAAGAAATGAAATCAGAAGCAAGTTATGATCCAGGAAGCCCACCAAGGCGCATATATCTCCCAGAAATGAATTCAGTACGTTGATAAATTATTCTCAGTCCATATTCACTGCAGCATTCTCCTTAGTGGGGAATACACAAAATCAACCTAAGTTCCCGTCAATGGGTGAATGGATAAAATAATGTGAAATATACGCAATGGAATATTATTCCGCCTGAAAATGAAGGAAATGCTATTATTTCTAGCAGTGGGTATTATCAGACCCAATGGAAATTTTGTTGCGTGACATAAGCCAGATCCTGAAAGATATTGCATGACCTCTATTTGTGGCAGCTTCTGAAATTGAGCTTCCCTGAAGCAGTGGTTAGAATGACGGCTGCGGGTGACAGCAGGCGGAGGAAACGGAAACTTATTCTTTAAGGAGAAGTAAGTTCAAGAGA